CATGTTTAGCGTAGTTTAGCGAAGATTACTCGCGTGTTAATAGAAGTCAAGCGTGGTATATAATATTGCAGTGAATGTTAGAAACCCTGGGCTCACTAATCCAGTCACCTAAGCCTCGTCTTTAGCCTTAACCTCTGACTGCTATACTATTGGCTACTTCGCATTTATCATAGGGAGTTAGCCGAAGTTCTGGGTCTCCCAAACGCAATACTACACAGTCCCTTGCGCAATCCTCGGAGGTAGCGCCGGAAGCAACCGGATGACATAAAGTCCTACAGCCAACGAGAAACGATGTAGGCGCGTGTATATTTGCTCTACAGGGGTGGACGGTGCTTGTGAGTTGGATGCATCGCATGCAGTATATGAAGATATATATCTAACGCCGAACTTCCCTCGTCGAATTCTTTCGTCGTGTGCCCGGTCGTATCAACCTGCTGCAATGGCACTGCAGTTGTGGACCCTAGGATCATTTCGATCGCAGGGCACGGCTCTTACATATATATGAAGGGGCTGCGTGAACTTTATGAAGTGCTGTCTTCTGGCCATAGTTCCAAGGTCAAATATTTAGGCTGCCCTTTACGCACAAACGTGCGGCAGGACCAGCGATGGTGCTGTTGCACTGATAGTAAAACCTTTCACTTTTTTTCCCGTGGACGACGGCATTGCTGGTATACTGAAACTGCTTTATGAAGCCGTGCCGAATAACAAAAAAAGTTCTGGTTTGTCAGATCTTTCGATAACCCAAAGTGACGCACTGCGATGCTTTCTCTTTTTGTTTTGAGCTACATAAGCTCATTCATGCCAGATAACAGTGACAGTTCGTAGGAAATGAATTTTTCACACCGTGCGAAGTATTGTAGTTTCTCGAAGCTTGTGCGCCCGTTATATGTCGACAAGCCGGAATATCTTGCCGCCAAAAAAATTGCATTATTAATGACGCTGGCTTGATTTCAAAGCAACAAAATGTAGGAGTGCAGACGCACTTTTACTTAGAACTCAGATCAACGACGGCAAGCACGCCTCTGCCAGTGAACGATCAGTGACCATATAAACCATTTAATCTTCAGCTTTGGAATTGTACGAAGGGATTTCAAATGGAAGGTATAGAAGACAACGAGGAGGTTGAAAGGTTAACTCAGTTGTATTTGCTTTCTTACTTCACACAGTGAGGTGGGAAAGCGGGCCGCGATTAGAAAATACGGCCAGCTACTCTCCGCGAAAGACGCTCAAACACCGAAGCTTATGTCCTGATGTCGGATTGTTGCCTTCCTATTACGCACGTCAGTTGGGCTTCTTCCTTCAGAGCGCGAGGACTGTTGATCATTATAGGAAAGGGAACTCCACCTGAACCAGCGCCCTCCTTTTATACCCCACCAAGAGTCTGACACTCTTGTCGCTAGCAGCAAGACTGCGACGTACTTTCCACAAAGCCTTTCCCTCACCCTTCGTGCCCCCGAAGAGCACTATTCTAGTTAAAGAAAGCTGAGGGTAAGAAATCAACTGATAAAGCCGTATTTAGGAAACATTACATCGATTGATATGTGGGGTTTAACGTCCCCAAACCACCACATGATTATGAGAGACTGAAAGACGTGGTAGTGGGAGGCTCCGGAAATTTCGACCACCTGGGGTTCTTTAACGTGCACCCAAATCTGAGCACACGGGCCTGCAACATTAACGCCTACATTGGAAAATGTAGCAGTACATCGAAACACCTGTTACTAGGAAAGAAAGAAAAACGTAATGAGAAGGTGATGGTCGAGGTGCAAGAATGCGATAGTTGCAACAAATCCTGATTAAATTGAAAACACTGTTCCTGCTTGTAGGCCCCCAGTTGGAACGGGGGTGTGAATGATTCGGATTCGTTAGGCAGCCACAGTTCATTGTTGTCGTGTTACGACCGCATCACCTTTGTCGTTCATTGTAGCAACAGAACTATTGCGCACCTAGGCACATAGACGAAGGTTTAATTGCTGGCGCGGAGGAAGGAAAGAGTTAGAAGACAAATTTTGATCGAGTTGATTGCAAAGAGTCAAAAGAGTTGACTTGGAAACCGCCTCTCGAGATGGTTTTCAAGTTAAAATATGGCATTGTACAATGTGAAGTAAATAAATAAATAAATAAATATATAAAGAAAAAAGAAAGAAAGAAAGAAAGAAAGAAAGAAAGAAAAAAAGGAAGAAAGAAAGAAAGAAAGATAACGGGTTAGGAGCACACACACTATACGGTCAATTTTTCCTAATTTGGCCCATAGTCTAATATTTTCCTGATGTGGCTTTCACGAAGGGTGTCGCTGATGTGGAAATACAATGAAGTTATAGTGAGTTATAACCAAGGTTACAATTTAATATTACAAATCAAAACACAAATACAAGCGCCGCCCTCAAAATCGCGGCTCACCAGCCGTTAATCTGTGCGAGAGAGTGTGTGTTTAGAAAAAAGTGGGCAACGATTTAGGGTACTATAGGTACTCTACTAGGAGAACACATAAAGCCGTCCTACGAAGGCTCACACTCGATGAGGCCCTGTTACCAAAAATTACGCCATGAACGAGATCACGACACCATGAGTGCTTCTTCGCTGCTAACGCAAACGCTGTGCACAATAGGAACTAAAGATTCGACGTCCCTACTTGTTAAAAATTAAGTTAGATTGACGACCAAATCTTTGCGGAAATCGCGCAGAGAATCAATGTTTTGTATTTTTGCCAAAAAACCAGTGGCACCAGCATGCGTCTTTTTTGAAAAACTAGTAATCTAACATGCGCGAACGGCAATGACGTTACTAAATATAAACAATTGTTTTTATGCAAATATTCTTGGGATGGGAGAGGTAAGATTGTATGGTGACCTTGTAAGATTATGGGGACCTAAGATTGTATGGAGACCATTCAGAGGTTGTAAATGAGCGCGTAATGAAGCTAAACAATTAGAAGTTAGCGTTTGTGCACGACCGTCACGCCATCCCATTATAATTGATTTCTCGCAAGGAATCTAGATCGCATTACTCATGCAGGGTTGTGCAGGCTGGGCACTACGACATGCGTTGGTTTGAATTTCCCTTTTATTGATGTCCAGTGGTTCCAGTCAATATCAAGATTACGCGTAAGAAAGAAATGGCAGCCCCGTCATGGGAGCGCCGCTATACGACTTCAAGGTTAAGGACTCAGACTTGCGAAAGACATACTTTGAGGCATGCACGTCCAATTCTGAACGGCGAAAAAGGGAGGAACAAATTAGAAAACAGCAGTAAGCGAAGGCCCCGCACGTCCTCTTATTGGAGAACACACACGAACGGGAGCAGAGAAAAATGTGCTCGCAGCAATCGAAGCCCTGGTTTTGATTCTACACGTGATTCTGTGGGAAATAAGATCCGATTCCAATCATTCAAAGTGGGTAGGCGAAATACGAACGGTAAACAGGGATACGAAGCTAAGTGTGCGGAGTGTCAAGGACGGACGAATAATTGTGGGACAACCCCCAGCGACACGTCTATTCTTGGCCATTGGAGAAGACGCTGGTCTTTTTTGTGGGGGAATAAGGGTGACATCTTGAGCCACCAGAAAAAGAGACAGAATGAAGACTTAGAAGTCTCCGTTAGTGAATTATCCTGAAACGACTTAAAGGCGTATACGGCCCTCGGTGTGGGCATTTATCGCGCACATTCTATTAGACGAACGCCGCTTTATATATATTCAAAGAATGCGAGCTCACAGTTTGATGATGATGATGATCCTTGTAATACTGGCACACACCCACAAAGGGGGATCGGCCAAGAACCGGGCGGCAGGACAGGATCTTCTATTTAAAGGCTCATGGTTCTACAAACACAAAGTCACACTGAATTGATATATATATATATATATATATATATATATATATATATATATATATATGTGTGATCTAACAGACAGTAATGCCAAGGAATGTACAGGGGAAGTTATTAGAACCAATGGAATGTAAATAAGAAGAAAGAAGAAAGAAAAGTGGATGAAAAAATAGATGAAAAAATAACCAGCCTAGAGCATCGAACGCGTTATTGGAAGGTCGTAGGTTCGTTTCCTGCTCACGGCTGGTTATTTTTCATCCACTTTTCTTTCTTCTTTCTTCTTATTTACATTCCATTGGTTCAAATAACTTCCCCTGTACATTCCTTGGCATTACTGTCTGTTAGATCTCATTATTATTGTGCCACGGAATAACAAGCCCTATATATATATATATATATATATATATATATATATATATATATATATATATATATATGGTTCTGTTTCTAGTAAAAGAAAACCTCGTCGCTTTCAGAATATCTCGCTTATGATGAGATAAAGTGATGCCAACCGAACGTGTTCTGAGGCTCGTTTCACCATGACGGTGGCCATCGGATTTCATTGCGTGATATCTCGCGGGAAGACGCTCAAGAGATGTTCCGTATAGTACCCGGAGGGCAACATTTTTCGCAACTCTCTGCGCGCCCGATAAGCTGTATGCGTCGTAACGATGAGTCAACGCCACACCTTGTCGTAATGCGCGCAATTGGCTTGTACTGCACCTTTTCACGGTTGCTTGTATATACTACGTGCATGTCGCTGTCTATTTCGTGGAAATGGCGGTGACGATCACTTGACAAAGAATAATATGCTGCAGTAGCTTCGCAGTGGAACGTGTACGCAACGGTGTTAGTAACCGGTCGTTGTAAATTTATTGGAACGGCTGGTTGCAAATACATTGCAACCGGTTTTCATTGCAAATTTGTTCCCTTATATTAACCGCTAGATTCATGGCCAATACCTCGCAGTGGGTAAGGGCTAAGAGTCAAGGATCAAGCAAACAAGCAAGCAGCGAAGAGGAAGACGAGGAAGGCCCGCGCGACTGCGACAATGCACGCGATGCGCGTGTGACACGAAATTCGCCGCTTGACCACAGCGGTGTTCCCTCGGCGGCAGACCCGAGCCGTCGGGTCCATCGGCAGTCCTCGCGTCGCCTCAAGGTTTGGCCGTCATGTGGACCGCTCCCCTGTGGTGCCTGGTCCTGGGCCTTCTCGCCTGCAGCCCGTGCCTAGGGCAAACCGAGCCGGAACCAGCCGTGGGCCTCTTCCCGCAGGCCGTGCAGAAGGTGAGAAGAGCTACTAACACTTAAAGGGCTGCTATAAACTACCCGGAGGTCGGAAATCAGTGGTGTTGCAGTTGTGTTCGAGTCTTCAACGAACCCGTAGCCGCAAGGGTTTTTTCGGAACGGTGCCGCGATAGCGGAGTCAGGCCCCTTTGCTGATACAAAGCTAGTTTAGAGGGTATAGTCCGGGCTAGCTGCAACGAATTCGGCGAAGTTAAACGACATCAAGGACGCAGACAAAATAAAGGTACCACACAGCCCTATTGCTTTGTGTTAATTTTTCTTGCGTCCTTGTTCTTCCTGTTGTTTACCTCGGCTGAAAAATTAAATTGACCCCGTATCTGCATGTTAATCAGCTCGTTAATCAGACTATCAAGACAATATTCTTGCGTGTGGAGGGAGTGAACAAAACATTTATTTGATGTTCTGCGCAAGAAAATCGGTGAATGGTATTCTGGAGGCGCTGCGTTAGAGTGCCTCGAGTGTATGGCGGAGGCGAACAAGCGCATGAAGTCGCGTCACACGTGAGACATGAGCACCACCTGGCAGTGTTCTGGGAAAACGAAGTGCGTGGCTCTAAGACGGGTGTGCCCGCCCGTCTCAGAGGTGATAAGGTGTAGAACGCAAGGTGACGGGTAGGTGCCACACCCGTTTCGTCTTAGTAAAGCGTTGGAAACACTCGCCTTTTTGTGCAAGCGTTGCATGGTCAGCGCAGCTTGATAAGCGCTACGGTCCTTAAAATTAATTATGTATGCCTTTTCTAGTAAGAGACGTACATGCAGAATATATACGTGTTGTTATGGTGCCGCAGACATGCGCAATAATTGTTTTTTATATGACAATTGCATAAGTATAAACGCTGAATCTGGAGCAACGTTGGTGGGGGCTGCGGATGGAGAAAGCCGTTTTAAGTACCCGGTGCCGTTAAGAGTGAACAAACAGAGAGACAAAGATTTTTGCGTCGAAGGTCCCTAAGAAAGACTATCGTCTTTAAAAAACGGGTCCTCGCTTGCTTAGACTTTTGGTGGTAGTGGTTAGAAGAGGAAGAAGTCACCTAGCTTCTGCAGCCCGGTATAGAGAGCACGGCGCAGTGCCTCGCTGTGCTCCGTTCGTCTGAGTGCTCCTTCTAAGCGCACGAGGAGAAAAGGCGGTGAGCCCGCGTTCTTGCGAGCAGACAGGCTTTTTTTTACGGCGACATGACCATACGCGAATGGTTAGGTCATGACTAGTGCTGGGGGTTACCAAAGGCCTGGAGAGGAAGCATTGTTTCGTAGCGTTGCCGCGTTTGGCATTGTTGATCACGATGGCAATGTGAATTGAATGCACGCGGTTACATGGAATGTTAAGAAGTTATCGAAGGTAGGTCTGCGCGTGCCTTAGGGCTCATTCACACTTGCGACTTTCAGCGTTCGCGAGACCATTTGCGAGTGGCGACCGAAAAGTTACTCATGGCCACCGAAGTTCCCACTGGCGTGGGTCTTAAAATCGTCGCTACACAAATTTTATGTCGGTTCACGAAAGAAAACCGTCGCTACACGAAATTCATGTCGATTCGCAAAAGGCTGGCATTATCATTGACCCTTAAAATAAGCTGGCGCCCTCTTCCCGTGCATTTGATTCACCCGGACGTTTGCGACTGCAGTCGTGAGACGGAAAAGTTAAGCGTTGGACCACTGAACCGAATCGGTCACCTTGCAAACAAGCGGTCCTTTGCGACAGACTTGGTCGCACTACCGGGGCTAGCCGCTTGTCTGAACGACCTATTATTCAGCGAGAACGTTTGTAGCGACATCGACGTTCCTATAGGGTGGTATTCACGCTGCAAATACACTGATCTGACGGGCACGGGTTTGATCGTCGCCGTGGCAGTCGCACTTCATTGGAGGTGCAATTCTAAAGGCTTGTCTACTACTGCCTGGTGCCAGTGCTCGTTAAAGAACACCAGATCGTCCAGATTTCCGGAGCTCTCTTCTACGCAAAGCCACGTAACCACGTTGTTGTTTTAGCTCGTAAAACCACAGGTATTAATACTAATGGGACCTTTTTTGGTTGGCTAGTTGGTGCATGTGTAACGTCAGGAAAATAATTGGCCGTGTGCTTCGTGGAAATGTCGTCGAAAGAGGATATAGTCTTCTGCCGGCATTCTTTCGTGCATAGCACCACCTTTTCAGCGCAGCCAAAAAAAAAAAAAAAGAGTGCGTTCTTTAGAATATCGTATCTATGTGTTTTCTAGTAAATAAACAAACAATCTAATGCTGCCCCACAGCCTCCGTCGGCTTGGCGTCATGCAACTCGGCCCTTGGCTTCAAAAGGTTTGCTGACCCCTGGCTTAGGCGAATAATTGCGGAGCCCAGAGTTCTTAAGGGCGAAGCTCCTTAAGGCTTGGGCTGTGCGTCTCCTGTATGTAGCCACCTCTTGTTTAGTGCTTGCAGTATTCACAAGTTGACGGTACTTGTAGCTGATGATAAAAAGATGCAAAGTGTTATAAACTAGACGGCGATACTTGTAGTTGATGATGAATGATTCGAGATGTTATAAAATAGGAATGATGTCACACGTGGCGCGTGTCATTGGTGGAAGGCAATCGTTCGATTTAGTGCGGCGACGTAGGCTAGGGGGAGCAGTTCTAATAAAATCGAGTGTACGGAGGATTCATGGTTTACCAGGTTTACCTCCGGAACTTCGCCCACTCATCATCATTCACTTCGTGAATATGGCGGCACTTTTTTTTCTCTTATAACAGCGAGGCCATTTTAGTTCGGCGTAAAATGTCGGTTGTGACACAAAACCATCATCATCATCAAGCAGCGCTCACGCTCTTCATCTTCATCTGCCACTTTGTTGCCAGAACACGTGTGTCAATAGTACAGTAAGGAAGTGAGAGAAAGAGAGAAGGATGGAAATGGTAAGAAAGCGACCAGGCGAAACACTTTCGGGGGGAAAAATATTGCGCGTGGCATGGTAGTATCAGAATCAAACTACCCACTATCTGAAGAGAAGCGGGCTGACCGCTGACAGAAAAAAACATAGAGTTGTCTTGTGTAGTTTAGTGCAGCAAGGGTGTGGAAAAGCGAAGTGAGGGGAAGGGTCGAGAAGAGAGCGTATCATATAAAAAGTGAGAGGGAGAAAAATAGAAATACAAGCTGGTAACAAAGAATCAAATAAAGAATAAAGTAAGATTAAATAAATAAAAAAAGAATAGAAAAAATGAGAAAAAAGTGAAAGAAAGAAAGAAAGAAAGACCAATAAAAAGAAAAGCGAGAAACGTGTAGACGCAAAAATAAACTCACAAAAAGAAAAAAAAAGATTAAGAAAACTAAAGAAAACGAAAGTCGCATAGCTCTGCACCTCCTACAAGAGTGCCACCACTAATGCGAAGCTGCCCGTCAGCTTGGGTGTTTGTTTTGGATGGCGCCTCTAGTGTAAGTTCAACCATTTCTTATGTGTTTAGAGAAAGTCGCAAACAATTAGTAGAGTACTAGGTACTTAAAGCCGTCGCGTGGGCCTCACACTTGACCAGGCTGTCGTGACAAAACATAACGCCGAGAACGAGCTCACGACTGACGACCAGGCGCCACTCTAAACGCAGGGGAAATCCCAAACCTACGTTATGGTCACGGCGGGGCGTATAGGTGTGTTTAGCAAAAAGTTGTTAACGATTTAGCGTACGAGGTACTCTAACAGAGGATATAAAAATCCCCGCATTAGTTAGGTGTGTTTGGAAAAAAGTGGTTAATGGTTCAGAGTACTTGGTACTCTACTATGGGAGAGCTGAAAGCCGTCCCTATAAATGCTTCATAGCATAGAGAAACATACTATATAAAGAGTGGCCACTGGAGCTTTGTCACGGCCCAGCAAGAAAGGGTCTGACCAATCGCTCTATGGCGTACCTATCCTCACTTTTGCTCTTTTTTAAGACATGTATTAGCCTCCTCAGGAGCACATTAAGTACCCAAGTGTGACACCATTTTTTTGCAAAAAAGAAAATTTATTAATTTGTGCATTTTTTCCATACCTGGTCTACATCATGTGGCGCTTAGAACGTTTAATGCTTTACAACAGAAAGCAGTAAAAAAATGCCCAGAAAGTGTTGTCTTTTGGCATTTGTTTTGCACAAAGTAGCACATTCATGTGGTTTAGATGTACTGTACATGTATTTCCTTTGTGGACGCATGGGTGGGTAGCGTAGTGGTAAACACGCTCGTTTTGGAGCATGAGGGCACCGGTTCAAATCCCATGGTCGGAAAGAAAACTGTTTTATTATGCTGAAGACATTATCGGGTCTGACCAACCATTTGTGCCACTGAAAGCAGCGCAGTAGATGAGCCGCAGGGCTCTACGGGAGTGTCCACTTTTTAAGTATGTTTCTCTGTGCTCTGTAGTTCTGTAAGCACTTTCGTTAGTGTGTTTAGAAGAAGTGGTTAACGATTTCGAGTACACGACACGTCGATCTTAAAGTAATAACACATCATCATGACACCAGTGCTATTCACTCATTCCATTCTTTCCTGCCTCCCCAAGCTGCGTGGTTTTTCAATCACACTTAGCTTGGTTTGCTCCTCGTTTACGCGCCAAAAATGTCCAGCTCTAGTAATTTTTGAATGCAACTCGTACTTTGACTAGCACATTTAGTAGTTAAGCTTAAAGAAGTGTAAGAAAGAAAAAATACGGCTCCTTTGTTCCTGGCCTAATTGCGCAAGGATAGTACATACACTGGAAACACGTTTTTTTGTTGATTACACACGAGTATGATAAACCCAACAAACAATTTGGTTAAAGAAAGCGTAGGAAGTTCTGCTGTCGTCATTTAATTGTAGTGTAGTAATCACAACCAAAAATGAATTAAAGTGGTTGAAAAAGAAGCACCATTGGCAACAGTAGGTTTCGAGGTCTGTGGATTCATTTCAAGCATTTTCAACACGACCAAGAAAGAACTGCCTGTAATAATGTTCTATCGGCAAGAGTTTTTGCAGGCAGTCTATATGCAATTGCAAAATAATAAC